CATTAGATGTCGAAATCATTTGGCATGGACTGGTTGTTTTGACATATTGAATTTAATTTATAGGTTGGCAGTGACGGCCAAAATGTTAGTTTGTTTATCGTTAGCGCTCGTTCTTGACAGCGAAAAAGTGAAAACGGCTGCGGTGGCTGAGCGTTGCGATTGTGAAACTAGGCTCCGCGGCGAGGCCCCGCCACGATGGTGCGCTAGCGCCGTGGCCCAGCCGACATACGCTTATGTAATAGGAAGCATGCCAGTGTTGACTTCAACTAACTGTCAAAACATGTGTCATAAAGTTAGTCGTGCATATCATATCATCCGTAATCTTCTCATTTACTGAAACTACAAAACTATTTGATCGTTAGAAATATATTTTTACGCGGAGAGTATTGTTAGGTTAGGGTCATTTAAAAATTTCGCGTCTATTATAATACCTAAAATTTCATGCCATTGACATTCAATTCTAGCAATGTCTACGAAATATGTAAATGTAATATTATTCTGTGAAATTAAATGAATTTCGAAACAAAAAGCCTTGTAATGCAAATAGTTTTTTTTTTAATGTATTCAGTTTGTTTAGAATACGTTTTTGTTGGTACTTAGCAAGACTTTCTTTCAGCGTTGGCAAGGCTCACTATGTTTAAATGCATAGGTACAATACGTTTTTGGCACAGTATTTGCAGTCACAGTTGGTTCGTCCAGCCAAATTTTATAACAATGGTAACGTTTAATGTCATTGACATAACTATTGTTCATTGTTTAATTGACGCAGTTTTACTTCAATGTTTCTGACTGTCGTCCTCTTTTTGTAAGGTGATGGCTAAATTGTGTATTTTGATCCCACTTTTGCTAAATAGGAACTTAGCCCAGTGCCAGTTAATTTGCGGATATTCTCAGTTCACCTGATATAAAATTTGAAATAAAAGATAAATTCTGATAACTGACCAATGTGCTTAAAATAACTTGGCTTTATATATATGGACTTTGTACAGCGACAGGGTTCGTTGAAAAAACCTGCCTAGATAGATGCTCAAATATTCTTTTCTGTCGCGGCCAGTCGTCTACAATTAACAAAATAATATAAAGAACGAGGAAACGGTGCTGTAGACTCATTTAGGTTCGCTTTGTCGCGATGTTTACCAATGGGCGAGGTCATTCACACCTTTATCGTGCGACTCGGCAGAATTTGGATTGTCACTAAGCGAAGTAGGCGAGCACTCCGACCACTGATACTGATACATAAAGAGATCACAACAACACGTCATTATGTTTGTAATCGGTCACGCATAGTCTACATCCTCCTTAAATAGTTAAGATCCATTTACTTCTAGTAATGCAATCTGTAAAAAAAACTCAAATAGGTAAGTATGTATCATAAAATTTGTTGTAGATATGTATTGTTACACATAAATAAAGACTAGACTAAACCAAGCTAGCCAGTCTATTTTTATTAACCTCACATTTATAGGCAAACAACATACTGCCATTACGCATTTCTTGAATTTTGATTTTGTAAGAACAGGTGTCCCACCAGTAAACATGCGATCATATGTATATTTATGTTTGTTTCGTGAACTATCGTCATAACTATAAAAAACAATTTTATCAACAACTGGTGGCCTTATCAAACAATGACTCGAAATTTGATTGTGTTAACGTATTCTGACGAATTATACAAGATTAGTAAATGCCGCTTAAGGTAGGTCGTTCAACCTCAACTAGATCACCTAGTCTCGTCGGATCGTGTGAAAAACATTCACACTACATCCAAAGAATCGATACAATGATTTGTCGATACGCTTCACTACGCCAGTGATAACATGCCATAAACGATGGGAACCAAATCCTAAAATTCTATGATGCAGTTGCGAAACATTATTGTAGAGAGTTAACACAAACAAAACATAACAAAGGTTGTCAGTTTGTCAAAGATATATTGAACCAGAATTCTTTCTCCCATATCAAAAACAAATATTTGTTCAATTGAAGAATTTAGGCAAGGCTGATATACCTATAATTCAGGTATCGATAACATTCACTGAAAGTTGGTCACGTTGTCTGAAAATGTTATCTGTGGTCTTGTTTGTCATCGATACAGCTCGACGCCGCCGATACAAAACAAACCTAAATCGTCTGAATTAATGTCTACTTTGTTTATCTATTGTTCCAAGTTTATCTTTTTGTCGCTGTGCGAAAATATTGCATTAAAATAGCCCACAGGCTACAGACATCATAATCAGTCAGATTATCAGATATTTGGATATTCCGATTTGAAGTGTTTGGGGGTGAATACTGACAAAGAGGTTCGGGTAAGATATGAGAACTGAGATGTGTGTGTACGGTGACTGTGAAATCGCTTAAATCATTTTTTGTAAAATGTGCTTTAGTGCCCCGGAGTAATATTGATTTGGTATATGAACTTGATGGTTTACTAATACCGTGTTAATAACTTCAATTTACATAGTTTTCCGCGAAACAGATATCATTATAAATGCCTCGTATGTAATCGGGTGTAACTAATGACATCTAACGCCGATGCACGGACTCATTAAAGACAAGCCCATGAAAAATTCATTGCCATTAAATATAGTTCAGAATTGAAACAGACACGCTTCCAGGAATATAACGTATGTGGTTTCGAATATTGCAGAACTTCCTGTTTTCGTAGTGCCAAGAATGGGGTTATTCGGTCCAGCTCGCTTTCACCCATTCTTCAGATAGGCCAACCATACATAGAGCGTTGCGTCAATATTTCGAGTGGTCGTGTTTTCTTCGGGAGAATAGTTAACCCACTTTCAGTCGGTCCTGGCTAAATATACCGCGCCTACCTGACTTCGAACGCATACCAGCAGCGCATGGTCGCAGCAAGTGGCATGACACGTTGTCAATCTTATTTAAAATATTTTTAATGCTACAAGTTGTTGGCAGGGTTATGTACTGACTGCTTGGCTGAATGATTCATATATTGGAAATGTCTAAAACAAATAGGTACCACTTACATGTAGTACTTATGCCACTTATGGACATCAAACGACGTTCGAAGACGACGACGACGTTCAAATTATTGTGAACATCTCTATAAATTGAGATTTCACTCGATAGAACGCTTTGTCTTATGTTCACAACCAAATCTACAAGTACTAGGTTAGACATGAAACATTAATGCGGTCTTTAAAGTTCAGGTACAAACTAAAAATCACACAAGAAACAAGAAAACATTCAATTGTACTATTGTTATTTTAGACTTGTGAAGTCGAAGTTCTTAATTTATATAGATGCAGAAAAAAAGGATATTATTATTAATGAAAATATATCCCAGTATACTTTTAACCCTTACCTCTACGATTTAATACTTGCCAGAACGTTTATTACTGATTAGAAATGTGCGTTCGAATCGTGCTCAAAATTTGTAGACGAATGAAAGTAATCTTAGTATAGTAATATATACACGTAGGTCTTGTACGTATTTATGTATTTATATGACGTGTATAATTATGTATGTATATATGTTATGTTATGTATTTTCCTTCGTATATTTAGGTATATATATGTCCCATACTTATTTGTCTACTGTTCGTTTTGCATTACGTATATATTTTAATACTTCTTCATTATATTTAATTAGTATATATTGTGTGATATGTATAATTATATAATTATGATGTTAATGTTAATGTTAATTATTGTGTCACTCTAATAAGTGTTAAACGTTTACACCTACTATTGTATCTCTCTGCACCACCCTAAGGTTGACTGTTAGAGAATGCCACTAGGCATTAAGTCCGCCGTTGTATATCTACAAAAAGTGTAAATAAAAATAAATAAATAAAAAAAATAATAGTGTGAAGTTTAAATTTGTCATAGAATACAGAATATTTCTATTGATATAATTAAAAATAACCGCAGTTGATGAGTAACTCATCAAGTAATTCAGTATTGCAATAACTAGCAAAATTAATGCAATAACCGCCACCGATAAAGTCATGTGATAATAATAGATATAGATTTTGATGATTTTGACAAATGTAATATAAAAAAAATCCCTAATACACATTTTGCGAGATAGGAACCTTTATTATACCAACATCCGAGTTTCTCGTACCAATTAGGTTGTCTCTAAGTATACACAGGACCAATTGCCATATTCCTACAGTGTAAGTAATAAATTCGTGCTTATATCATTAGTGAAACTCAGCACATTGTTCGAACAATGAATCAAAATGTAATCTAGATACTAGTGAATAGCGGTCGATGCGAATGAACTCACTTTTAATGTAACCCGACACATAAGTGTGCCATCGGCCTGACTAACCTTTCAGACAAAAACTAGGGCTAACTGGGCTATGCATTGTCACATACAGTTTTAATATTCCTGATAACTGATAAATAAGAAACGTTTTCCATGTCACTTGTACTTGAATAGTAAGTTTATGGCAAAAAAAATCATTTTCAATAACAAAAGTTTAGTAAAAAGGAATTACAAGGTTGTTTCATAATGTCATAAAAAATTTAAATACTTAATTCTGCATGTCGTTTGGCATATTCTTAAAGTAACTTATAAAATTACAGAGATGCATCCTCAAAATTGTAGAGACAATACTGTCAGTGTGTAATTCAGTCGTTGCGCGGTCATGAGGAACCGCGCGTGCGCGTGCGTCTGACCTACTTATGCGCTGCCGACCATTAGTACTTGCCATCAGACCACACACGTTATACTTCCACGACGCGCCTTACACCCATCGACATTACTGCGGCCCATCCTAGTCAGTACTGAAACATCATCACTATCCATACCGAATCCCTTTTCGGCGGTTCAACGACCTCGCTATCGAAATCCGCACACTCACACGCGCGTCCATGGACGAAACAGCCAGATAAAAAAAATGAAACAAAAAACTCCTCGCGTAACGGTGAATGAGTACCAGACAGAGATAACTATATTTCGGCGGTGTACTCGTCGAGTTTAAGGTCGGCTACGAAAAACACTGACGCAATTTTTACAGCGTACGTAATTGAGAACTGACGGAGTCAGCGGTGTGTGCGTGAGCGCCGAGAGCGACGCCCGCGTCCGCCGAAACGGAGGCGGAATATTTAGGTGAAAGTGTTTCGAATTTCGACATGACGACATTCGCGCGCAGTCGTTATCGTGATTTTGCCGAATCGAGAGGTTCGGAGAGTGCGCAGACTACCCGCGACGAGACTGCGATCCGCGCCCGCGCAACCCTAAAGTGTTCGCTCCGCAGGAAGTGCTTCGGACTCTGCATGCTGAACGTGTCTAGTGCTTGCGTTGAAAAACTATGCTGAGAGTTGGTGTGTCCAAAAATTTTCGGAGACGTAAATTAAAAAGGTGATCGGTGAATTCGGAACAAGTTGGTTCTTCGTGTGATGTGCGTGTTGAAGCGCTAAGCAAGCTGTCGGCGGGCGACAAGCTGGGGCCCGACGAGGCGTTGGACGCCTCTACTCACGCGCACCAACTGCAGACGATGACCTCCACCATGGGTAAATATTGTGATTATTCAACAAAACATCACCCAGATCCCACATTGAAAAAGTTAACTACAAACTAACAGGCACGCCCATATCCACAGGACACCCATCTCAAAAAAATTATAATAAAAATGTCATTTTTATACATACGAATTATATGTTAAATATTACTAACAATACAAATCAAGTGCTAATCTCAGTAACCTACATCGAAATGTGCGTAAGTACCTATATTATTGTAAAAGTAACAGTTCGTAGCCGTTTGCTACGCGCTACGAAATCAACATCTCACAATATAAAAATTTTCTTTAGATTTAATGTAATCTAATTATTATTTTATTATTCACTGTAATTTTATTATGTTAATCTTACACTTTATTTAGGACAACAATTAAATAAATCGTCTTGCATTTTAATGAATGAAATAAAAATTAATTAAATAAAATGTACAATTAATTTTACAAATATGTTTAGCACTATAACAACTAAATAATCATATTTTCGTTATTGTAAAATCAAGAAAAATGGATAAATAAACTTTTAAATTACTATAAACCAAAGCTCGTAGCAAGTGCTACGAAATATGCTACGCACGAATCGATCTTGTGGGCTGAAAGACTACGTTACAAAATAATTTAAAATATGTACACAATTTTTGTGTGATTTTATGACCATATATTTGTTATTTTTCATACTTTTCATAAATTTTGGTATAATTGCCTATAACTAATTACGTTGGCTCTATGTACATTATTTGGTTGTCCGCCATTTTTGATCATTATTTTTTATAATAGCTTCATGCACATGTAAATTATATAGTACGAATTGTTTGCTATCTAACAGTCTAACCGAAAATAAGGTGGGTGTACGAAGCAAAAAATAAAAATAATAGACCATTCAGAAACATTACTATTTTCATGTTTTCATTTGTATCCTTGTCTCATATAAAGTGGCTTGTATAAAATAGTCAAGAATAGCAATAATATACGGTCATCGTAACAAATTTTCATAAAAGTAGTTTCGAAAACACTTCCTGTATATTTAGTCTGCAAACCAATTTAAACTTTGTATCGAAACCAATAACACCTATAACCCTGCACACACAAATACAACAACCGTGTTACTGGCTCAATGTCTTATTGAGCAAACACCGGATTCTGAAACGTTAAAAAAATAAATCAGCATATTGTTGCAAAACAAAAGAGGTACCATTTTACCATTGAGCGGTAACCATGACATTCCCAAATCATCTCGTGGATCACAATCGTGACTTTATAGTCTATGACCGGCTACTTTTACTTTCGTTACAATATGGCCGCCCTTTGTCTATGTTCTATGAGTCGGCGAGGTTGTTGATCTCCCGCCATTTTGCCGTTGCCGAAATACGTTTTTTACGCTCACTTTCCAATGCGGTGAAAGCGAAAAGGTACAGAATGTCACTGCTTCCTTTCAAAGCATTGTAGTGGGAGGACGTTGTCGAGTTTCGATAATAATAGGTGCGATAGTTTGCCCGTCAAAAATGCTATTGTTCACTAATTCTAATACAGTATAATGTATGTGTAAATCCGTTTCGGCACATGTGTTTAGTGATAGTATATTTAACAAGACAAACATATGTATTTAAGTAAACACATTTAAGAAGCTTGGATATAACGAATAGTTAACCGTTAAATAATGACGCAAACTTATTAGAATTTAGAAGTCAGGTTGAAAGTAAAGTCTTATTGCCAGTTACATTTTAACACAAAAAGACATTGCTAGTTAATAATCTATTAGCAATGTATCTCTAGTATACCCATAGTGATCTATTACTTGTAGTTATTTTGACACCCAATATTTCCTATTGACTTCTAAAGATTTTGTAGCTCATTTTTGTATACGTGACCTTAGCCGTCTCAAGTTTCCGATCTCGCAATCCGCATATTTGTATTCCGGAAGCGTACTCAAAAGAATATTCTTAACTATAAATAGACTTAGTAAAATTTATAAATATAAATTCTTGACATGACTATAAGTAAAAGACTTTTCCGCAACGTAATGTTAATTTCTGATGTTTCCTATCTTCTGACAAAAATACTCGTCCAAACCGTGTAATATTTGTGTTGATTAGTATGACAATCACTAAATAGGACGAAAAATTAATTAAATCCTATAAGGTTTAGAGTACTAACTTTATCTCCAAAATATTATAAATAAGATGTACCGATATTCTTGTCAATCATATATCATATCAATAGGAAGTGAATAGATCGGAAGTGTTGGTAGTTAAAAATGGAACGTTTAGTTGTGAGCGCACGCGCAGCAAAACCTGAATGTCAAGGTGCCACCGCCAGAGGCCATGAGAGAGGCCCAGCATCGGGGCTCTAAAATACAAACGTACTATTATGGGTCTACCATAATAAATATTGTTCCATACCAATATATAAAAATCCAAATATGTATATCATTACAAAAATATATGTGAAACATTCATTTTATCACCATTCTTTCGCGCCTATCTTTAAAATCGGAAAGTGCAAAATCGTGAATTAGAATAACAAACCAAAAAATGATATGTTATCTGGCTTAGTCATCAAATATTTAATTTGTTTATGTCGACCAAATACATGTTTCAGACGTGTAGGCAGATATAAACAGTAGCAAATAAATAACGATTCAATACCAGACAACTTTCATCAGCAATACAAAAAATACAAAAAAGCCAAGTAAACCAAAAAAGGTAGAACGGAAGCACATTTTAGGTCATACAATCAATTTAAACCTTTGAGGTCGTTCAACTATTGGTATAGATCTTTTACCCTTGCCCTTATTATTTATTGATCCTTTATAATACAAACAATAAAAGTTAGCTTTGTATGACAACGATGACCAACACGAGTAAAACTAAGCAGTAGAAATAATATGGTTGCAACTGATTTCGACGTTTGCTATTAAGCTACTGGTGTTACCACATAGCCCTGAAGTGTTCAAGGAATATGTGTACGCCAAGTCCATTCACTCAGCTACACTCGAGTTGAGCATTCGGACGGTCGTTGGCGTCGAATCGGGCAACCGACCTCGCTGGTGACACTGACATTGAGACCGGAACCACTCGACCACTTCCTGACACATTGCACACACAGCATAAGATGTACAATCTTAACTAGTCTATTACTGGACTCTAATAACATTCTTAAATCGATCAGATAAATCCATCTGTTTCGGAAATACGAAGGTCAACAACTCGTCACGCTTTTTTGCGCAGCAATTGATAGCTTTTATGTTTTATTTTTGTATTAGAATAAGCTGTGCACTATTTTAGCTGTTTATTCCACAAATGTTTTAAACTACGCTTTAATATTTGCTGTCAATGTTTCTAGCATGTATGTAATCAAACAAAACCAACTAAAAGCATAATTAAATAAAGTCTAGATTAGTATTACAGCTTACATTTTCCAAATAGCTAGCTAGCTGAGACTAGCATGATGCAAGAAGAACTACCAGTTGGTACGAGCAACCTTGACAACTTACAACATTCACACGAGACTGGCTTGATACATTCTACGTCCGTTTCGTTAAACAATCTTCGGAACTCGTGATGCCATCTGGTATTGGCAACTCCGGAGTGAAACATCAAAAGTTCTTGGAAAAAGAATATTTTTTATTAAAAACAATAATTAATATCAAACCAATTCTGAAATCTAATAACGTCTTTATTACTTTGGTGTAGCGCGGTTTTTAAGAATAAAAAAGGTTAATATTGCGATCTAAATACTCGACTGTATAGTACTGCACTTCCATTAACAGCACGGAGAGTAAACAGTAGAACATTAACAAGAGCATTGCACCGATGAACTGTAGACATAAAAAAGCGATACTTTTTACGGTTTAGTAAACATTTTGTTAAAATCACGTGGCGAACTGCCAAAGCGCTCATTGAGCTTTTAAGAGGAATGTTTATGATTAAATCAATGTTCATAAGTACATCATTAGGCACGTTTTAATCCGATTTCGTCTGGTAAATATTTCTATTTTTGTGCCAGCGACAATCTTCAAAATTTTTGAAAGATGTCTGCAAGGATTTCCTAAAATAAGTCGACATTTCATTTAACCAGTTTCTGCACCTCATTTTCAAACACAGTTCTGTATGTTTCGCAATAAAGTTCAAAATACGTTCACACATTATTTAGTTCAGCCAACAATAATATTTATATTTGCGGACTTCGAAATATAGTTGCAATGAACCTGCCTACACTCGTACGAGTTCATGAAAACAGATTACCACTACATGTAGGTCACGAAGTGATCCAAAACATAACGGATACATTTCTATGACTAAAAGTATATAAAATATTCAACTATGTCATTTCAATCTTCAGTCAGTCAATATAGGATTTTAGGTAGGTAATGGCAATTCAAAACTAGTCAAGCGGCAGATATGAATTTTTATAGACAAATTATAGGTTGTGCCTCCATAAATATAAACACTGAGAAAAACCAAGTCTTCTCCTAAAATAAATCATACAGACTTCATATTGTAGTACTTCCTGAGTTCTTATATCTCCAACGGTCAATTTGTTACGTGTATTTGTGGGTGTTATATCTTTAAAAGACGGAGCCCTAACAGCGGAACCGTAGGCGATAAGCAGGCGACCGCGGTAGAGGTCACCACACTTCCGGCCGTCAAGTACATTGCTTTCGGCCACTACACGTGTTTATCAGGCCCTTAAATTGAACCAGCCTTGTATCGTGTCCTCAAATATGATTTTCCTTGAACTCTAGTCATTATTCGTGCTTAGTTCTGTGAACAAAGCATGCTCAATGATCACGCGTCAACAACTGTCAGGTTTTTTATAAAAATACCTCAATACACGTTGGTGGTCATCAAAAAATGACTGCATAAGTCATTTACAAAACACATTTGAATGATCAAAAGATTAAAGCAATGAAAAAATAACAAAACAAACCTGTATTATCAAACATTGCCCTTTATCAAGCGCGTTATAAGCCTATATTCATAATGATATGACTAAAAACCAAGACTAGAATCATGATGTGAATTTATTCTTTAAATATTTTGGTTCACAATATATTTATACTGCCAATTTATTTTTTTATTTTTGTGTCACATAATTGATATGCGTTCATTCTTATGGTACCTACTCTTATAAACAACGGAACTACATACTTGTCAAATTCCTACATTGTGCCGCCAAGGACGTCACTGGGAACGTACGCGGTACTGTATAATAAGCAACAATAATGAATGCAATTAAACAAAGCCGAACAGACGAGCGGTCAAGTGTCCGACCCTGTGCGGGGACGCACGCGCTTCCGTATGTATGATCTTGCTTTAGGCTACGTTCAAGATCAACCAATTCCATTCCATTATCCCTTTATCTAAACACTCATATGCATATTTATAGGGCTGAAGTTTCAATACATCGGTACTTTATTATAAAGTTAAATTAACTTGTTTTGCTTAATTTATTTGGTCGCGTTGAGGTGCATAATATTATTATTTATTAGAATGATAGTTTCTACAACAGTAACTCTAAGTTTTATAATTAAAAACAATGATTATGTATAAACTATTAAACATTAGAAGAAACAAACTAAATTACTATAATTTGCTAACAAATTCCTCAATACGTTATCAAACTTCTGATAAGGCTAAACTTCTAATAAAGCAATTCGTACCTTCACCAAAGGCCACTCGACTGAGATTCCAAGCAACACCAAGCCAAAACTTCCGCTTCCTTGAACCTGTGAAAAGGTGTAAATGTAGATATTGTTGCAAAAACAATAAAGATAAAATCACATACATACATACAAGACAGATAATAAAAAAAATATTTGTTCGATCCCAAAGAAGGCTATTTTCGATATACAAATAATATAATCACCATATATAAAAGTAATAAAGTTATAAGTGTATTTATTTCCTATATGTCCGCGGAAGTCAAAGCTCATGGCCTTCGCAAAGCTCGCGAACATCGCGTCGCTGCGCCGAATCCGCGAATAATTTTATTGAGTCATTTATACGTCACTATCAAGGTCTTTGACTCACACTAGTTTATTTGGGAGACTAGACTTCGATAAATGTTGACAAAATACATTCAAAGAACATTGCACTCGAATTTTACACAAAATTAATTTTAGAGAATCATTTCACTTGAGATATAAACAGTGAGTATTTAAAGTGGTGACTAATTGATTTATCTATATGACGTAATGTGTGTATTTTAGAATAACGATAAAATAATTTTTCTTCTCAAATCTTTGGTGCCGGGTAATTTTCATCTCCTTTATACGATGAGTTAACAAATACCTATGTTCAAGTGTGACGTATAGTAAAATAAGAATTTTTATTTGCTTGAAATATTAGTTAAACATAAACGTCATCGGGAAACACGTAATTGAAAAATATATTAAATGGTCATGCACTATAGTTGATAGGCTTTTAAATCTTTTGATTACTGTTGCTAAGTAGTGGCACGTTGTTCCAATCTTTATAATTTAACTGTGAAGTGACGTATGAATGAGTCAATCTCTTATCACGCGCCGGTGTAAATATGTTTTTACGAGTTTTTTCTGATATTCTACGTCAATGTTACAACACGATTCTACAAATACGTACTACGATTTACTGTTCAACGCAGTCACGCAAATATTTCGTGTGGAAATACGTATTAGACATTAAATACACGTTATATCATACCTAATTCCATAAAACATATACTTTGCACGTTGTTGTAAATGTTCCGGGTACAATATGACGCTCATGATAATAATCCAGACAAGATTATCAGTACATATCGTACATTTCGGAATGACCAAGTCGAAAACTATAGTTCACACAAGTTTGTTCGTATCTCAATGACGTAATCAGATCATTACAGCCCACACCATTGTGTTCATGAACAAAATTTATCAACAACTCGAGATACATGAACTCATGTATTTTAATAGTGGGGTTAAAGAACCTATTTTGATAAAATTATTGTCGAATTTCTCTACCCATGTGACACGTACATAATAATATGATGGATACTGTCCGTTGACCTGTCACGTGTGTTTCACATTAGATACATACATTTAAACATACACAACATATTCGTACGTAGATACATAATAATGGTTTGCGAATTCCTACATCAATTGAAATCGATTGTCTACAATATACATTAATCGGTCATGATTTTCGTGACGACAATTTCGTCACAATGAATAAATTAGTATGTTTCAATGCAATATTCATATTATCATTATGTACAAATGCTCGTAAGAAATAAAACACTATTTTACAAATACATAACATAGCTCTACCAAAGTATATTTATTACTCGATTTAAATTAACTTATTGATCTTTCATTTCTTTAAAGCGTTTCCTTACCTAATATGCACATACAAACATATACAATACAGTGACTGTTTTTAACATTACCATAACATAAAAAGCAGTAGCTTCGAACAACAAACGATTACCTAACAGTTAACACCTCTTACTTTATGACATTTGCAAACAACTAAACAGCAATAAAGTAAAAGTAATAGCACATCACTTAAATTCATAATCCGACCATTAAAGAGAATCACATCGTTATGCAACATAATGACGTGTGAATATACGACGCAAATAATATTTCGATGGTCATAGGTTGACAACTCGTAACCCACATTTTTTCACAAAATGAGTTATGTACATCAAAAATTTTAAAATTAAGCGCCGAATCTTTCTATTGATACCTCGTAATTTACAAAAAATGTCGCTCGAACAATTTGTGCCAGAGTTGACAACTCACAACGAACACGTATCAACTTGAACGCACTATTGAACGAGTTACGAGGTGTCAACGCAAAATGCAGTTCGCAAAATTCACTGACAGAGTAAGATCGGCGCAGGTTTTAATAGTTTAAAAATAGTTTTTTATTTAAATTACAACTTTGAATACGTATAGTTATTTCCTGGAAGTGACCTTGAAGATATATTGGTAAGTTTTTAATTTTATTTTACGTAGAACGCTCCATAAACGCTCACTTTTGAAATTTCAAGCATTCTTATCAACGATATAAGATATCGATGTTAAGATGTAAAACTAATTAATGATAAGAATTGAGATAATTAACTATATTCTACATAATACTCGTAATTAAACTTGTTGTTAACTCGTAACTGATTGTTTATTGATTATTTAATGTAAAACCTATGTGGACCGTTTATTATTTAAGCTATATTAATAAATAATTTGATTACCTACAAACTACTTTTTTGTTTTATTTTTTTCTAATTTGTTTCTTGAAACTAAACAGTTTTTTCACTCTCCTGTAAAATTTGCTACATTGCAGTTACGTGTTGTCAACCTTTGACCATCGATTTGCCTGTTAAAATGCATTACACTTTCGTGTATGACCTCACAACGTACGTGGGCACGATATCTACTACAAATTCCATTACCTACTGCCGTTATCAAAGCTATAAAATGCACTCTACGTCCACGTAAGATGAATGGAAATCACACGACATCGAAATAAAACCAAGGGTCACGCGCTTTCCGCCCGTAGTCAGCACCCGCCATGAACCGGACTGACATTGAAATATGATATTATTTAATCTCGGAAAATTAATATTCACAAATGATGCACGATCGATATCCGATAATATCCGGACCACACTACGTGTCTAGACCAGACATGTCGCCGGATTGCCGTAAGTGACCTTAACCTACACTAATTAACTAATCGGACAGCCATTACAATTCAAACAACCTCATTATAAAATTAATACTACAGTTAATTTAAAATCAAACAATAATAGTTCAGAGACAATAAATAAGACAAGATTTTAAGCAATATTTAAATAATATTCTATTAAAATATTGAAATTAAACATACCTATTAAAGATCCTTTGTAAATAAATTAGCGGTCACTAATCCATTCCATTAATCACAAAATTGTTTATTTTGTTTCTGCAAAACAAAAGTTGGCTCGGCAGCCATTCTCATTTTAAAAGAAGAACCAATACTTTTTTAATTTTAGACGCTAAATATGGAATTGAGAAAGGTATTCTAAAGTGCTTGTATTATTTTAAGGAGCAAAAAAGGTTTTAAACCGATTGTTTTTTAAATTTTTATATTTTGTTTTGCCTACAGGAATAATGACCCTCAGCCGCGGCCCGTGTGACCTCGACAACATGAGTCTGTTCCAAGACCTCAAACTTAAGAGGCGGAAAGTTGACTCCCGATGTAGCAGTGATGGTAAGTAACGCATACTAATCATTTATACTTCCGAGTAAATGGATTCTTATCTCATTATAATGATTATTCTTAATTTGAACATTTATATTGCTAGTCAATTTTGAAATGCCACATTTTTTCATAGTCGAACATAAAAAAAAGAACACCATAGACATTTTAAATTTCCCGCGATGTTGGAATACAAAGGGTTGCCAGACTCGCCAGACCGGCCGGTAGTAGACGTAACAAGCCGTTATTGTTATTGTAAATAAATAGATAAAGTGCGAGACTAAGGTCGCAGCACGGCGGCGGTACTTGTTATTCGTGTCGAGATGTCTTCCATAGTTGTGACGCGGATCACGGACCGCTATCACTTTCTGTCGCTGTGAAGTCTTTTGTTACTAGTAATTTCATTTTCATTTAAACGTGACCCTCGCATTTCCACTAATGGTAGCGGAGCAGTTTTACTTTTTTGTTTTTATTTTTATTTTTATTTTTGTAATGACACCTGATTATGTATGCTGGCTGAGCATCTCAGCAGACATGACTTAAATTTTCGAATTTTCTATGATAAATATCAAACCTTAATACAGGCATCAAAATGTTTTGAAACTTACGAAATTAACTACAAAACATATTATAAAACATGAAAACGACTCATGTTTTACAACAGAATAGACCGAATTTCAAAAAATATTGCGTGTTGTTTAATTTAATTCACACAACAACACCATAAAAACGTTTCTAGTGAAAATGCATTCGATACAAGTCATTGAAATCGATATTATCATAATCGAATTACACAACGATGATATTCGTAAACAAATTAATGTTTGATAACGATCGTCACTGAAAGTTAAATAACAGATCAACATAACACGGCGTGAGAGAGTCGAGACTGGTTCCGAGAAATGCAAACTTTCACTTACAAATATTAAAAAAATAAACTTCCAAAAACAAGATCCGGTTCGACAAGTAACAGTCGCTGTCAAATTATGAATAGCGAGCATAATCTTCGTAATCTTATTATTTTTTAGTGTAACGATTATTTATAGAGACATTGTTTTATAAAGAATCTAGACTAGATAGATATCTTTGTCTTCTTGTTATCAAGTCTAAAACATCTAAAGCATAAATATTTTTAATCTGTATTTTCTAATTGATAACTGTACAAACTTATATAAAAAAAAAATTAGTGTACTTCTTTAAGTAGATACTTTAAATATTTTTCAGCACCATTCCATAAAGAATGTTAAAAAAAGTTATTTGTAGTATTTACGAATAAATTTGTTGTAAACTTTAACTTTTCCCACATTAACAGTGAACTTGGAAAAAACGTTCACGTACAGATAAATATTTTTGCATTTCACACTTAATAATTATTACGTAAACAATGACGTAGCGAGTGAAGTCACGCTGATAAAGAAAGTTTACGTAAACTCACGAAAGGTGAAAGCAATAAATACCGGTGCTGTAATTATTGTTATTGTAGCTTCATGAATAAGTCATGAGAGAAAGATGTATTCACTGTCATATAACGTAACACCACGCCCGACGGCCCGAGGCTAACACAGACAATGATTTGAGAACATCTTTTATTTTTTGCATATACTCACTTAAGCTACATAATGCAATCGCTTGTTAATGGAAGTAAATTGCTTTTATCTCGATACTGTATAATATAAAACATATTATGTGTTACAAAAGGTACATTACATACATACATAATAGTAAATTAGTGATAGTACATAGATTTCAATCTCTTAGGTAGTCTCTTTGTCATTTATGTTCATGAATATAAACTACAGGAGTCAGGTATATAACTGAAAATTAATACACAGTTATTTTTTTATTCGTCTTAGAAAGTTAAGTTCGTGTATGTATCCAATGACAAATAAACGTAAAAATAAAAAATAGCAAAAGTTTGGCAATCTCCATTTAAAATTGCTCTCCGAGAATAGACGAATTCTATTTTTGGATATAAAATCGTGAATAAACCCGTGTAACGGTGTAAGTCGGGAGCATCGGAGCGGGGCAGTGGCGGCGTGGAAAGCGGTTCACGTGGGGTGTGACGCGGCCGCAGCGTGACGCGGGGAGCGTCATCGTGACGCGCCCCTCACGCACATTTGTGACACACCACTTTGTACGTACTAACGAGATAACGGACAAACCACTTTGTTTTTTGGCCTCTCCTAATTGTGCATGGCAAATGGGCTTCGTGTCATTTAATTTATTGTTTAAAAGGGTTCGTGTACAGTACCTACATCAGCTAGCCGTGACAAATTAGTGTTCGTCATTTGTTTTAAAATATAAATTTTATTTTAAGTACACAATAATGTACGTTAGAAACAAAATGAACTTGCGTATTCAATTTATGATCAACACGCATAGCCTTGAAAGCTTTGTGGAATTTTCAAGGAAAATGCATCACTCGCTTATCTGCTGAATAGTCATGAAGAGTGCAATAAACTCACATAATGTTATGTTATATAAATAAATTAATAAAATTAAATTTCCTGTAACATCTTATCAACGTTTGTTTACAATTTTAAATAACTATAAATTCATAGTTTCATATAGTAAATGAGCGTACGCACCTTTAAATTGCTAAATGCTAAATGCGTGAAAATATCAGTAGAAAAAATTATACCTACGTATCCTTATAACTTGTAACAATAAAGTTGTTGTACTGACTTCCGAAGGTCTCTGATAACGGCGTGCGTAAATAAATTACTACAGACTCAACTGAAATAGTAAAACTATTGTATCGTCACGCTTTTTTCGCTTGTGAGGCCAGTTACACTTGAGGTATCAATATCGCTGCAGTTTGGAGGCCAATTTTGTTCGTGATAAGATTTAATACTGCAGAGTGTAAGCTTGGGGTAGATTTCTAATAAGTACCTAATGTGAAGACAATTATTAAATACAGTAATGAATCTAATGAAGAATGTGATTGATGCATGCACGTCGGGACGCGGGACACCGGCGGTGGTGCGCCGCAGAGCGCGGACACGTGGCGACGCGGAGCCTCGGGGTGTCGGGGCGCGGTGCCGTGGTAGGGGTGTGACCCACTTTCCCATGTGTCGGTGACCGCGGCCGACCTTCGAGCCTGCACCGACTGAATAAACGATCGTTCATCCGCCCCGAAATAAAAGACTTGCATATTGCGTAACCGTCTTTATTGTTGTCTGTCTACCACAATTCTTTTACTAAACAAATACCACATCGTTTGCTTAGATTACTCTGCCAGCTGCAATATGTGAGCAGTGTTACATAAAATAATGAACTCTAGCGCCTGTACAAAGGCAACGAGATACAGGAAAACTAGCTATGTGCAACATTACCACTACCATAAACAAGTAATCAGAACGGGACGTTTATCTAGGCGCTTGTGTGAGTCTACCTAGAACCTCTAGTGCTATTGCATCACGTGGCTAGAAAGATCGGTCCCCACCAATGATGTGGCAAAGGACGCAGCGTGAAATAGAGATCGTCCTCGAAGCGAGAGCGGTGCACGCGTTGCACTAGTCATTGTGCGGTTGCAGTTCGCACGCACGGCCGTCTGAGTGACCTAATAGTGGCTGGAGGGAGGGACCGGGAAGCGCTGCGGGGAGCGGGGCGCGGCTGCCGCTCGTGCGGTAGGTCGGGCTCACTGCGCGCGCCCGCCGCCCGACGTCGCGCCGCCGACAGTGGAAAACTTTCTTCGCGACTTTTCCTCGTGTAAACAAAACCGCGCACAATTTTGCGCCCGCGCGTCCCTGTTTCTAAGCTGGAAAACCGCGCTTCATTGCTCAAATGACGTTAATTATTTTCACTGCGATACATTTGTTTTTCCTTAAAATTTTTAAATACCTTAAAATTTGCGAAACTACCCTTGTGGACAATAATGTGATTAAATAAGATCGTTCTTCTAAATATTAAAGGACTATTGACCGTGTTTGCGATGTAAAAGCCAGGTCACGTGAGAGGGTAAAGACTACGCCTATGGATTTAGTAATAAAAAGTCGGTAAAGTTTAGTGTTTAGAATTATGGTAATGATTTAATTTTCGGTACATATTTCTATTTACTTCTAAGCTCGAACTTATTCAGAAGATATGTCACTTATTCATGATATTGTATTATATCATATCATTCATATACCTCTTTGTATGTACAATGCAGTCTCAGACTTCCTTGTAATAAGATTGCTACCTTGACTTATAATTTTTGGGAAGTCTAAATATTCGTTATAAATTCTTTCATAAATTTGGTACAGGTATCTATCCATAGGAAGTATAATTTAGGTAAGCAATACTTTGCTTAGTAATAAATCTATTTTTAATAACAAGTTATTTGAAAGTTTTTAAATGATCTAGGTATAATATAAGGATCTATAATTATTATAACAATATAACATAATAGACGTTATTGTTGTGTGAGGGAGAGCCCTTTGTGGTGTGTGTGTGTGAGCGCAGCGCAGGCGCAACGCTTCCGGGCGCCGCATCTGCGCTCACGCCGCTTTCACTTTCTCCTCGCGCGCCACCGCATCTCGTGCTCGCGCCGCGACCCGCATCCACGCTTCCTACATTTTCCACATCGATTCCGGATAGTTACATAAATTGCAACATTGTACACCAAAAACTGAATCTATCAATTAGTTACTATCGCATAAATCATGAGTTGGACATCGCGATCGTACCTCATTATGATTACTCGTTCCAAAACTTCAGTCCATAAATATAATAGATTAGTTTTGAATGTGGCCGGGACGGCAAAGGCGGCGCTCACATCGTGACGCAACCGGCTAGCTAATCTAGTCGGCGGCGTCGGGAAGTGCAGTGTCGCGTCCCTGCGTCGCTCCCCGCGCACTCTAACTACGATCGCGCCGCGCGGTCGTTGACTTTTCACCTAGTTTCTATTTGTCGCTTCTAAAAAGTCCATGGTGTTCTTTTCTATTACGTTGAGACAAGAGTTTGCACGTCACCGTTCTTGACCGAAACGCGTGTGATTAACAGGCGAGTCGGCCGCAGATACCAGCACGTCGTCGCCGGACCCCGGCCCGCCGTCGCCGCGCATGGCCGAGGCGGGCTGCAGCACGCCGCCGCATCCGCCGCCCGTGTTTGATGGCGGCGGCTCTCCGACACCATCGCCTGCTTGCCATCCCACCGTAATCCGCTCTGCGCCACCCTACTCTGTCATCAAGTTCGAGAGCAGCCCGGCTTCTGTTAAGGCAGAATGCTCACCTGCCAGCAACAAACCTGATGCGACGCCACCCCAGCTATCTTCTGTAAAGCTTGAAAACACACCGGAACCTCAACCATATAGACCACGTGCGCTGGCTCCACCGCCACCTGGTTCACACACATCGCTATCGCCTGGACCCTGGCCTCCAGCTGCCTGCATCAACGGTGTTAAGCCGGAGCTGATAGGCGGACATTTCCCACCTCAACCTCTAGAACCTAAACCTGGTGCACGAGGGTCAACACAATGGCGAGGTACCCCCGCTGTAATCATGGGCGAGTCAGGTGGAGTCCGGACAATGTTCTGGACACTGCCAGCACCCACATCTAGTGGAGAGCCAGCAGCAAGCGCGTCGCATACGCCTACACCACCGACTCCTGACCCAGCTACGTGTAGTGAAGAATCGGCAGCGCGGCTATTGCTCAATCTGGGCGGTGAGCTGAGGCGGCCGCGTGGGCCTCCATTAAATATGGAACTACTTTGGGCAGGAGATGTATCTCAGCTGCCCGCGCATCAGCAGCTTACTGCCTTGAATTTGAGTGCTGCGGCCGGGAGTGTCGCGGGTGCATCACAGGTGGCAGGAGCCAGCGCGCTAGCACTACCCAGACCAGAGCTTCGAGCTTATGCCCCTGAAGCGGAACGTGATGAAGATGAACAACCCATGATTTGCATGATTTGTGAAGACAAAGCAACGGGGCTTCATTATGGCATTATTACATGTGAGGGCTGCAAAGGTTTCTTCAAACGAACAGTGCAGAATCGACGAGTTTATACGTGCGTCGCTGATGGTGGTTGTGAAATCACAAAAGCACAAAGGAATAGATGCCAATATTGCCGATTTAAAAAGTGTATCGAACAAGGAATGGTATTGCAAGGTGTGTATTGACCCTAATTAGACTTAGAGTTTTACTTTCATAGAATTTCATAGAGTAACTAATCGTTACTAATGATTTTTATGTTGCAGCGGTACGGGAAGATAGGATGCCAGGTGGTAGAAATAGTGGTGCCGTCTATAACCTTTATAAAGTAAAATATAAGAAACACAATAAAAAAGCGAAGGCAGCGACGACAACAAGTCGAGCATCACCACCAGAGAAGCCCAAAGACCCTTTACCGCCTATCCCATCTCACCTCGTTAATGGTACCATCCTTAAGACTGCTCTAACTAACCCCAGCGAGGTAAGTTATCTTACGAAAAACATTCTTTATTTATTTTTATTACTTTATTCATTCTTTATACATTTAAGTAAAATATTTTTATTAACATTCGTATTCATTCCAGGTTGTCCATTTAAGAGCACGGTTAGAAAGCGCCGTATCATCATCACGAGATCGTGCCGTACCCCTGGAAAGGGCGTTACACATGATCCGAGCGTTGATCGATTGCGATGCCATGGAAGACATTGCTACGGTGCGACATCTACCAGATTTGCTCCACGACACCTCAGAAATCGGTGACAAACTATGTAAGATCGGAGACTCGATCGTACACAAAATGGTCGCTTGGACAAAAAAATTACCATTTATAATGGAAATACCAATGGAAATACATTCCAAGCTGTTGATGGAAAAATGGCATGAGATCTCAGTACTGACGACGGCGGCGTACCAGGCGATGCACGGGAAGCATGCCCACGCGCCACCCTCATCGGACCACGAACAAGACTTTATGCAAGAGGTGAGTACCTACGAATTAATGTTACAACGTTAGTTACGAAAGTCTCATAAAAGTGTATTTTTCCACACAATTTGACTAACGAGCCCTAGATGTAGCTCAAGCACGCTCCGGGTCACATTCGCTCCAGAGACTTCCGCACATGCGCCGGAGTGCAGTTACGTGATCTGCATCGCTTGCGCAACCGCGGTAGAAAGTCGCCGGCTGCGGCTGCCAGACAACTAGTTGCACTCGGACGTTTGCACACTCGCCGCATAACCAGCTGTGTTACACTAGTCAATTAATGCAGCGCACCAGACGCTGAACGTTTCTATTATCTTACAGATGTCGAGATTAACTCTTAGAACTTGATTTACTTACCATTCTCTAAGCTTTGACTTCTATTTAATTAGCTGTATTTATTTATGTGACCAGAGTCAAACAATGAGAGATATTTTTTATTTAACGCGATTCGAAAACAAAATGCAAGTAACAAAATCACGACCTAAGAATTGCATGCGTTACATAAACTGCACACGCGGTGTTGTAACAACGGTAGTTACACAGAAAGTATTTTTCATTGTCTAGAGCATTTCCTCTTTATTTATTCATTAGATATTACGTAAATGTAACGTATTATGTTCGCATATGCGCATGCACACAATTTTCACCGATTTGAAATGACTACAAATGCAGACGAACTGGTATTTCAACTATTTCTAGTTATTAAAATGATGTTAGTTTTGTAATATGCTAATAGGATTTATGACTAACAAGAATAGCCCTTGGCAAACGACATACCTCATTTGCATTCAATTATTGTTAAATGAGATGTAAGAACATACATAACTATGAAATCGTTGCTATACATAGAAGGATATTAAGTACAATGTCGTCAGTTTCTTGCTATAAAAAACCTAGAAAACAAACCTTCATACTCTGAATTGAAATTTAAAAAAGCATTGATTAAAGTAACGTATTTTATATTAACGACTACTAATTTGTTTCATAGGTGAATGCTAACCTCAGGACGCTGCAGAACTGCTTGACGTCACTGATGGGTCGCCCCATCACGTTGGAACAGCTGCGGCTGGACGTAGGCCTGGTGGTGGAGAAGATGACGCAGATTACCTGTGTCTTCCGCCGCATCCAGCTCAGAATGGAGGAGTACGTCTGTCTGAAGGTCTACATACTCTTAAACCAAGGTAAAAGCAGTTTATTTAATGTTTTTTTTTCAGTCAATTATGTTCAATGAGATGATCCAATGAGCTAATGGACATTAAAGATCGACGTTGCTCATACATTTAAGATAAACGACAGTTACTCTTCTGCAAAGAGATATGAGCAATCAGATATTTATAAAAATCTTTCTAACTTTATCCCAACTTCAGTGCGTTGTAAAATAAGTTTAGTTCACAAATTAAAACTTCGTCTTCAAACTATTAACGATCTACTACGTTGAGTTCATTTTATGCAGCAATATTTACAATAACAGTTCAAGCTCTTCGGATAATCGCTATCACCCTATTAAATTATCTACCCAATAAAAATAACTCTAAATCTTAATTGACAAACTGGTATTCTAAATAATAGATTGACGTCAAAATTCAGAGTTCATACAAATCTTTTATTTTTTAATTGTGTTAATTGGATCTGGATAACCTCCGCCGCATTGCAGGCCACTGGGGCCGTTTATTTAGGCTACGTAAATAGAATGAATGGACGTTTCCTTGTTTACGGAACCAGAATAATCTTTTTTATATTCAATTAGCAGATAATGTTTGCAGTAAATTCGTATAATCCAATTAAATATTTATTGAATCGTAAGCGAAACGGTCATCGGATCGGATTTAAGGAATAGTGCAGTGTCCTCAGTAGTCGATAAGCAATTTACTTTAACACTTCCTCATTCCACATCATAATGGCACAAATGACATAAAGCTGTGCATACAACTCCACTGGGATACGTTAGTTCATTCCTTGAGTAAGTCAACGCACCACATTGTAATCCAGTTACGGACTCGTTAAGGGGTGCATCGGCCCACGATGCATGTAGGTCAGTTACTGTTACGCAAGCTAGGCGTCCTACGCTATGACGTCGCCCTGACTCATTATGTTGCCCGTTTATATCTACTTAGGTACTAGCCTTAACATCCAACACGTTTAATGCCAGTTTTACTTCCTGAAGATATGCACTACGTGACATACAACTCTGAATAATTTATTAGTCGAATAAATTCAATAGAACAATCATTTCACTTTTAATTAAATTTATCTGCATTCCTTCCTGCAATAAACAGAACAGCTATTTATTATCATAGAAAGAGAAGTCAAAAAATACTTTCTAATACGATACGAAGGCTTCATAAATCTGGCTGTAGATTTTATCGTATGATTAATAGGCACAATGCAATAAATGACAACACAATAAAAATCTCAAGCATAAGTGCCGATGTACGCGGTGCAAAGTGTTCGTTAATATTATTATGATTTATGTTACAAGTAACCCAGATGTGGCGGAGTCGAGAGCCGCTCGCGACACCGATTAGGAACCACTTCTCAACGTTGATAACAATTTCACTCATTGAACTTTGCTTCCATACGAAAGTATTGATATCATCTATAATAATTGCTTTATTTGTTTCGGAAAATTTGGATAATTTCTTCGACCACTCTTCTAAACGACGTTTAAATACGACGCATATGCGCTCTTCTAAAATGATAGAGTAGGTACTTACCTCTATATTCATAACCTTGCAAAATATAGTCACAAATTGAAAACGTAATTTCATTAGCTACACCGCAAGTTAAGTTACAATAACTAAGTTTGAGACGCAATAGAATGTACCTCGCAACTCGCAAGACGTAAACTCAGTCACATCTAACCTTCGACGATAATGTTTTACATGGCTAATCACAGTTGGTCCGCTCGTCCTAGTACTATGGCAGGGAAACTGTGACATCCTGTGTTATCGCCAGTAACTGGGTCGCACCACGCTCTAGCGCCATGTTTGAAAATTATTTTCACCGCGCATGCACATTTATACGTTAAGTAGGTGCGCTGTTTATCAAACTATGAAAGTACTCAGTGAGTGTTTAGCCGCGCTCGGAAATACCGCGTATTATGTTGCACGATGCTTATGTAAATTAAACTCTCAACATAATAATACTATGCTATGTTTGTGTACATACTGCAACAGTTACCAAAGTACACAGATTAATGGCGTCGTCTCAGACAGTAGTGAATAATGAATCATATGACAGTTTGACTCCATGAAAGCAATACTTCTTGCATATGACACCCGAGAAATTTCATTTATTCCAATCCGTTATGGGCCTGTTAAATTCTCAATTGACGGTGACATCATCAAAATTGATGAAAGTAGTTCACTCATATTTTAAATGTTATTAGTCAATGTTCACTATGACTAATATAGCGTTTTAAAACAGATTGGGTAAACAAGGACTTTTCCTTATGTCTTTACTTATCCGTAAATCTGAAATAATAAAGTCACGGCTGTACTTGGTTATCAAAGGATCCTCCAAATAGTACATTTTGTACCTACTGTGTACATAACACAAGGAACACTTATGTGTCAGTTGTCAATGAAGCTAACTATCGAACAGAATTGGCTTCAAATTGATATTGTTGATAACCTACTTATGAACTGATTGAAACGCATGCGCACTGTTTTATATCAGTCACCGCTAGAAGAGAAATGTATCGAAAGATGCTCCTTTTGATTCTAGGGTTTTAAGCGATTCCAATAAAAATAACCATTATCTTCAAAAATTTAGGCGACCGTTTGTAAAAAAAAAAGAGAAGGAAAATTGTCCCTATAATTTACCACGGTTACTTGTACGAGTTTGTCACCGTTCAATTTTCACTTTATACACAAGTATACCTGTGTGTGTGTCCTGGTTGGTACCATAGCTGTACTAGTGCGGACTACGGTGAAATGGAAAGCGCTTGCGCAACTGCGCCCGCGTCGGCTGTGCCGCTGTGTGTGTGTTTGTTAGATACTTGTAACAAAATGTTTGTTGCATGTGAGCCGCGTTGAGTAATGTTTTAGAATTTTTGGAACGTATCGACTTATTTGTCACTATGTATAAAGTAGTATCTCTCATATTGTACCAACAAATAATTAACAAATCAAACTTACAACCCAAATTATAAAAAATATTAAGGTTATTCAGTCGTAACACTCTAATTATTGTGTAATTAAATCAAACAATACATACATAGTTGGTTGCCCTTTATGTTTAGAATTAAAACTAGCATTGCATTCAAAGGCGCATTGCGTATAATAATGTAGCGTTAGTTACGTCAGCTAAAACGGGACAGCATTTCACTCTCGGAGCGGAAAGCGCGACGCGGAAGGCGAACTTTCTCTTTTGCAGCGCAGTGCGCGCATTGAAAAAAGCGCAAGCGCAGATTATAGAATGAACGAGTACCGCTACGTCTCGCGCGCCTTTCTTTACGTAACCGATACAACAGGCGCGCGCCGCTCATGTGCACCCGTACAGGGCACTGATACCACAGGGTAAAATCATACTTAACATTAATGTAATTTTTTCACTCTGTTAAAACTGCATGTATTGTATACTATATGCTTGTATTAATATCTCTAACAATATATTTGAGTTCACCAAAATAATTCTCGATAGGAATATTATAATCTACATAAATTGTATATTGTTCAGCAAAAATAAACAAACATCAATTAAATGTAGTCGCAATAACAGCACACACGAAACAGTCGCGCGTACAATAACGTGGAAAAATGCGCGCGCGAGAGCGAGACGGCAACAGCGATGAGGACGCGAGCGAGCTCGAGCGGAGGTCAACGGCTAGCCGCGGTCGTTGCCCTGCTATCGGAGTGACCTACTGAGCGCGTGACGTCACCGCCGCACCGCGCGCGCCGTGGCATTGGTTCACCGCTACCGCTCAGCGCCATCTACAAGCGAGTAGGCGCACTACACGTGATCGTCATTGCATGATTGTAGTAATATAATTAATCAATACAATCCAATGCCATTCGCTACTACTACTACCACAGCGCTCGTAGAATATTTTATATTTACGTTAGATTTTGATGAATTAAAGCCTACATATTGGTTTACTATAATTTAAGAGATGTTTAATTCTGTTCGCGTTTGTTTCAGAAGTTGAGTTGGAGGGTATTCAGGAGCGGTACGTGCAAGTGTTGCGCAGTTACCTGGAGCACGCTGCTCCGCATCATCCAGGACGGTTACAGGAACTCTTCGCCAGGATACCTGAGGTAAGTCGCTACCTACTGTTTAATAGTTACTTTTCATATTATCTTGTTGAATTGATAGAAGCCAAAGGCCTCACCATGTCAAACAATACTGAATTGTGTGCATTGCTTTCACCTCCAAATTAAATTAAATTAAGAATTCAAACAAATAAGTATCTAGATGGTTTTTATAGCGAGAGAGAGTGGTACGTAGATCACTCAGGATACTAAATCTTAGTCAATCAATATGTTTGCATAAATACGCATTTTCTACAGCCAGTCTTGTTACCAAGGGATAAGATAGCAAATTTGTCATGTATCCCGCCAAGTTAAATTTACAAGGCACATTCACAATAGAAAGTGGAAGGAAAGCTTTTGATTTCACGATACTTAGTTGTCGTTTTCACTTACAGATCCAAGCGGCGGCGAACCTGTTGCTGGAGAGCAAAATGTTCTATGTACCTTTCGTGCTCAATTCGGCGGAGATCAGATAGTACATGGCGCAGCAGGGCGTCTAGTTCTCGATGTACGAGCGGCTGACTCCCCGCCCGCGCCCGCTCCCCCGCCGCACGCCCGTCTTATGATCGCACTCGCCACATGTGTTCACACGCCGCCACACGCGCCGCCACGCCGCGCCGCCACGCCGAGCACACGCGCGACCGCGCGGCTCCCGCGCACCGCGCTGCACAAGAGTTCGTACAAATGTTCCTACTCCGGCACCGACAATAAGTGCGCCCGCCCAGTGCGACAAACAGTGACAGTCAACACAAGTGCGGTACATTTATACCTTTGTTGAGTCGATGAGTGTATTGGTTTATTGTTTAGTAGAGGAATTAAAACGTCCCATACGACAGACTGATTTATTATTAAATAGCTATTACGTAAGGTACCAGGGACTTGAATGCGTGTTTTATACGTGGTAGTGTATACTACATAGTGTTAAATAGAATAAAATATATATTATGTTACTATTTAAATTTGTCAGTCGGAGAATCGCATAATATATTATTTCTGTAAATATAGAGTAAACTTTACAATATAGGTAATTAAGTCGTTGTTTTAGACAGAATTGTTTCTTGTAAATGAAATACTGCTGTTTTAGTTTGCATTTTATATTGTCTAGGATTAACCAGTAGATTAATTACTGGGTGTGTAATATTGAGAATTTCAATTTAATTTTATATGACTTGTTCGTACATAATGTAAGTAGCACTAAGTACCTACTCTCAGTGTTTACCAAGACTGCTTGTATACAACTGTACTGTTTATACACTAACATAGCGGCGCGGTGGCTCGCGCGGTTCTTATAGTCACAACTTATGCATTTTTATTGCCAATACTTCGCATAACACAATACTTGTTTCGTTCTGAACGTTTCACTTCTCTATTCTGGTCTAACTAGGTGTAAGAGTGCGCGCACGCGCCGGACCGTCGCTCGCCACGCCGCACCGCCGCGCGTGACGACGACGTCGCCGCGCGCGCCGCCGACTGCTCTCGATGCATTTCTAAACTGACGAACGTTATCTTTATGTGCGTAGGTGCTTCGGACATTTATTGATCTTATACTTTGCTTCCTTTGATGTGTTCAAATGTAATTGTGCTCAATGTACCGTGATTTTGTTCGGATATTCAAATTTTGTAGTTATCGTTTATGTCATTTCATATCGCATTCGTATCATTGAATTCCTTTCGCGCATCGTTCCTCTAGTATATGTAGATACACCTTGTACATACATTTAAATATTTTGTACATATTGCGTTAAATCTCGATTGCATAAACTATTTGATTGATTTACACCTATCTATAATTAATAAATAAGTGATTTAATTGTGGAGTCCTAATTTTATTACAAAACAGGTAAACAAGCATGCATCACACAAATCACCATATCGAGACAATGAAAGACACGACAGAAACTATGAATTTATAATATATCATTATTACATGTCAACATCACAGCATTAGCCCTCTAGCATTCCTCTTCATGCAGTTTTAGGTACATCCATCATTTTCATGTGTTTACGCACCTAACTCTCCTGAACTACAATACCTACATACATTTAGTAGACGAAGTAAATATGACTAACACGACTTACATCTTAACATAAAATAAGGTATCAAACAATAAAAGCGTATCATTACATGATCACAAAAAAAATCATACATAATGAATAAACTTACGAAAAGACTTTCAAACCTACTACTGTCAGTAATCACTGCCTTTCATCTTCTTAAAATTTATTCGCCGTTATCGTTAATTAACACTTTGTATTAATCGTTAATGTTAAAATTTGTAATAAACGTTCCATCAACGGTGAACAGTTACCACTAGCTATAGGGGGCGATGTAAGCCTTGTTAAAATTAAGTAATTACAACCAAAAAGTTCGTTCTAAGGACTTAGGTTCTAGTTAATTAGATTTTTTTATATCTTAGCTTTCTCACGGTCGACGTCGGCGTATTCAGAGCAAATAGTAGCCACATACCTTCTCACTTATAAATAAATATTTAATAATATAGACTTCACAACCTGTCAGTGACGAATAATGAAACACAATGAAAAGTCTCGCACGTGAAGGTTGTGGACAGACGAAGTTGACAGCAGATTGTACTTGCACTCTACATCGCGTTAAGTAGCTACAGTCGACATAACAAACAACTTGTAATATTAGATAATCCTGTTACCTGAATGAGCGATACACGTCCGTTCCTCATCGTGTTACCATTAGTTAAGTATTAGCGGTTAAATGTGTTTTGTACATTATAATTAGTTTGAATACAACCAGTTACGATACTGCCATCAAATGCCTAAATAGTTTTCAATTAATTTTGTTATAATTTACGTACGGTAATTAAGTTAATGACGTTGGTGAAATTATTAGTTAATTGTGATAGAAACAGTGATATGATATCGGAGTAGGCGCTACGCCTCGCCCGCGCGGTAACTCGTGCGAGCGAGCGTCAAGCGCCGGCGCCGCACGCCGCCCGGTGCGCGCGCGCCTTCACTAATATTCGGTCTCACTACGTGAACCCTTCACGTCGATTGGGTAACTATATTTATTTATTCATTTTTATCTAACTTAATTATAATTAATTAGTTATTAACAACACCATCCGAACGACGGTGTTAAATCTAAAGTCTGAGGTAAAGATGCCTTTATAGATTTTTAAACGTGTAATGACGGAAATCGTAAATATAACTATAATCGCGAATCGTGCATCGTTCTACTAATATGTATGTAAATGATAATGTATGTAAGTAATATTGACACTTATTTTGTTAGTATCATAGCGTATTGTTAAGGCAAAACTAACGGCAGTGTATCAAATGGGAATTAGATTTGTAAGAATGTTATTGGCGTTGTACAAAGGATAGTATTGTTAGTAATTAAACAATGAAATTGGCGCATTACTGGCGAGTACCTAATTAGAATAGTACACGACAGCCCGCTGAGGCTATACATTCATGTAACATGTAAATACAAATGATGCTTCGACGTGTAAGGCGGCCTCTCGCTTTCGTTGCACTTCCAAATTATTTGCGATTACTGTGAAATAGGGCTTGTTCGCCTCTTCATCTAATTTAAAGGAACTCGTAGTATATAAACTTTTGAATATCAAAATTGACTGACCGATTCATTGGAAGAATTACAAATAATTTGCTGCTCGCTTTCTGCTTGCTATTTTAATTTTTAATGAGTTTGCATAACTTTACTACTGTAAGTCCCGGAGACTTGTCGCCCGGGACCGACGGTTACAACCGGCGTCGAACGATCTTGTGTGTCCGATACCACCGTGTGTTTATTTAATATACTAGCGTGCACTGTGCAGCGTCCCCGAGATGCTCTAACCTGCATATAAAAATACCACCAACTAATTAAGTTCAATCGTCAATTAGCACTGTATCATTACTAACGGCCCACTGTAGGATATGTAAAATCAAGAATATCATCATCATCACAAGACACACAGGCCGGGCCGATGCCGGTTCGTAGATAATACTGCGAAAATATTTTGACTGATATAGTTATGTAATAAACATAATAATGTTAATATATTTATAAGGGTGTAACAAAAACTTAATGCATTTCACGTTTCTTTACAGTCCATAAGAAAATAATTAATTACGTGTAAAATATTGCATGTAACATATTGTGACGAAATATTTTCACATTCGTAGTGTAAGGTTTGTTGTGTATAAAAATAGCGTTTCAAGTATTTCGGGTAAAAGAAGGGTTACAATTTTGTGTACATTAGACATTGTATTAAAATAGTTATGAAATCGAGTGTAACGCCGCAAGAGAATATATATTTGGAAACGTTGACGAGTGTTTGTTGTATGTATTTCATGTCACAGATGGATATTTGAACTCTAAGTACATAGATATATATTCTACGAGTTATACTTCATGTTTTAATCAAATAATAACAGTAATCAATTTTGTTACAGTTTCATGAACAAACACGTTTCGCTTGTCTTTCTAATTTCAATGTTTAGATACAAATTTTGTGTCCACTTTTACAATTTTTCAAAATAGAATATAAATAAACTAATGATAATGGTCGAAGTCACAGATTGTACTAGTTGTAACTGCGAGTGCCTCACTGGTAGACAGTAGACACGGCGGTGTGTAGCGACTACATTTTATTTATAAGAGTTCAATGTGATGAGTATGCTATATTTCACGTATTTAGTTGGGCTCGCTCAATACCAAGACTTATCGCTTTCAGACCTAGCATACATTAAGTATTATCGATACATTAGGGATCTATGTTTATACGTAGCAAATCACATTAGTTGCTGATTGCTGTACTGTTCTCGATGGAATAAGGCTGTTGTTAAAATTCGACCAAGTTAAGATTATACAGTGACTGTTAGCAGTACTCAGGAGTTTGTCGTTCGTGTACGTCTCGTTGAGTGGTGCGCCGGCGCCGGCGTAGTCAATCGAATGTGTACTGGTTTGCCAAGAGAAGTTACCTACAGTTGTGTTTAGTTAGCGATGCATAACGTGTTTGTACTTTAATTTGTTTTTTAGTTGTACTCTTGGAAATCAATGGTTAATAATTTAAGAAAATAAATTGTATGTGAAATATATGTAATGATTTTATTTTTTCCTATTTCTACCTCTAACAATAAACCATGTAAGATAAATACTGGTAAACAACCAGTTTATGAAAAAATATCAAACCGTAATAATAAAATTATGTACGTACCTACTGGTGGGCCAGCATAATTATTTGAGTAACAACGATTTATATAAACTTGTCCTACATTTGCAACATACTGGCTTATTATGATAACTAAATAGAGAAAGCTTAAAGCTTTCTAGGTGTCACGTGCCACCTGTAAGCCCAAAACATAATAAATGGCACCTAGAGTTTGGGGACTAGAGAAGTGGGATTCTTGCCTTACTGAACCCGCCTGATGCTCATCATTAACACATATAAAAGGCACTGGGACTTCTACATAAACCAGCTTCGGAGCTGTGCTACACCAGTTGCAACACATTTCTAAAAATAAATATTATATCCCAGATGATAGATATCCCTAAATAGGCTTGCTAGTGAAGCCATTCAAGTTATGTTAGTGCCTTTTCTGAAAGGGAAAAATCATCCAAAGACTTCTCTCACCTTGGGTGAGGCTAGAGAATTGACAGACGCTTACTGACTAAAACCCGTTCCTACTGCTGCTTTGAGCTGGAGCCCCAGTAACCCGTTAAGTTGTCCGGGAGTTATGTTAGTAGGTACCCAGTCTTCGAATTACCTGTTTTAAATTTTAATATTTATAAAAAGGAATCTAGGTCTTAATACTATAGAAAATTAGAAACCTATTCACGTACCCCCGACTCGGCCCTCTAGATCGTGTTGTTGCTTATCTAAAGCTTATCAGCCAACACAAACAAATCGTAACCATTAATTAAAGAAAACAGGTTGCAGTGATAACTTACTGCCTACTACCACATACTTTAAGACCTTATTTATCTCAAGAGCTTTGGAGTTACCTACATAATATTATCTGAAGCAAGCTCAAAATGCAAAAAAAAGTGGTTACTTACGTTTGTTGTGTCAAACATTAAATAAAATAATGTTTCGATTTTGACTTAATGCGTTAATCGCTTAATTTGCATTCTGGTATGTAAATGCATTTTATAAGACCAGAAATTCAGTTTCTTGGTAACTATCTGTTGTTTTTTTTATTTTTCGCAAATAATGTAGATTCTGTGCTTTTGACAATATTTTTTATTACTCCTTCTGCCCTCTAGCGCCGAGTAGCATAATCAATGGTGAAGATGACAGATTTTACTCTTTACTCACTAGATGACGCTAGCAGTAATGTACTACCGGGACTATAATAATATTAAAATGACCGGTTTAAATGAAAATATTTTATTCTTTATTTTCTGACCTAATTACTTTATATGTATTAAACTGTCAAACACCAAGCGGTCACCGGTGACCGCAACCTATTGTTCTATAATTGTGTCTACAAAACCGGTACTCGACGAGTTAAATATGATTGCAAAATTTTATTTTACCAAAACCTAAAGCCATTATAGTCTATGGTCGATTTTTAACTCTATGGACCTTAAGACATCCAATATGTCTTTCTGTCAAAAATTGTCTGCCGCTTGCCACATGTCAGTTAATAATTATTGTGGTTTTACTATATTTTACTAAAATTTTATCGCAAAACAATCACGTAAAATGGTAAGTAATACTTTTATGAACAAATTAAGTTGATATACATATAATCTGCAATATATTCTAATGTAACAATAACAAAACCTGTAAAGGAGCAAGTTAGCATGGTGTCATGAATAATTCCTTTTCAGAAACCCCTTATGCTCCAAGGGCACGAGCGTGCCATCACACAGATCAAATATAACCGTGAGGGTGATTTACTGTTCTCCGCGGCTAAAGATGCGAAGCCAAATGTATGGTGGTCTCTGAACGGAGAACGCCTCGGGACTTTCAATGGGCACGGTGGTGTAGTATGGTGCCTAGATGTAGACTGGCAGACCATAAACCTGATCACCGGTGGAGGTGACAGTTCATGCAGGTTTGTATTCGATTCCTATGCTTTGTAGGACTAGTGATTACAAAATAATATTAATAGGTACATCTTATTGAGATAATACAACAATAGTGATGGTATTCATTTTACATGTTTTACCAATTTCCTTGTCTAAGACACTATTGTTTAAGAGACATAGATTACTGTCAATATGCCTTATATTTTCTTGAATTTTATTTCGTTAGTAACATTATTCATATGACACATTTGAAAAACATTGATTGATGTTTTCGTTGCACAATGTGATACAATAATTGCAGATCTTAATTTTTGTTTAATATAAAAACATTAACTAATGAGTTCTATATTGGACACCTAATAATACAACCACTACACTAGTTGGACCTTATTGAAAACCTATCAGACATTTTCATAATTATGGAATTCACACTTTACCATAAAGCATGTAAATTTCACATAAAAAGAGAATTTGTCACTAACCCCATTGAGTACCGTCATTATAGACACAATTAAAGAGCAATAGGTTGCAGTCACCGGTGTTCTCACAGTGTTTGACAGTTTAAACTATACTATCATTATAGTTACGATGATTTACTTGCTTACAGACTGTGGGACTTGGAGACTGGCAAAAACATAGCCACAATTAAGACAAACTCGTCTGTGAGGACTTGCAACTTCAGCTACAGTGCCTACCAGGCCGCTTACACTACTGATAAGGCTATGGGACACCCTTGTGAGGTAAATTAGAGTTTATTATTATGAGTTTTAATTATAATGTGTGTTGTATGTGCAGTAATGCACTTGATCTATTTTGTAAACTTATATTACTACAACATTAAGGAAAAATATTAGGGCAAAATATTTATTCAAATCAACAATGATATATAATGTACTATATTCGATTTATGTGCATACTATAATTATACTACAAAGTTTCTAATCCATTGAGTGTCTTATGGGCCATCCTCGGCGGTACATTTGCAGGGAGTCATTCATTAAATGGGTCAATATTGTTAAGGCGACTCAGCTGTCATTCTCTCATTGTTTATACCACCTATATCATCTTCTTTTCAGGTGTTTGTTATTGACACAAGAACTGTTGATGACTCTATCTCCAGCCAGGCTCCTATCTTGAAGTGGGAGATCACAGACTCCAAGGTGACATCCATGGTGTGGGGTATCCTGGATGAGACCCTCATCACTGGTCATGAAGCTGGAGACATCATTCAGTGGGATTTGAGGGTGAGTTGAATATATCAACAAAGGTGCAGTAGTGTTTTTAATGTTCCATGATGATTACATTGGCATGGTTGGGACAGTAACTAGATAACCAGCTGCTTGAATCTGTATATTGTTAAATGCACCCATAACATAGGAGAACATCCTAGTGTGGGTGGTAGTAACTTGTGTTTACTTTTTATAAAGAGAAAGAGATAGTTATTAGCTGAGAATATCTACTGCTGAATAAAAGCCTCCCACTTGATGATGATAATATTTCACACTTTCTACGTTTTGTCTAGAGCATTTGTTTGGTTATTTTTGATTTTGTATTCTAATAGTTTTAATTATTTCTAGACTGGCAAGAAAATTCACTCTATTAAGGAGCACACGCACCAAATTAACGACATGCAGCTGTCACGAGATGGCACCATGTTCATTACAGCCTCCAAGGATCAGACTGCCAAGCTCTTTGACACTAGCTCCTTGGAACTCCTGAAGGAGTACAAAACCGAGAGGCCGGTGAACTCAGCTGCCCTTAGCCCCATCCTAGACCATGTGGTACTTGGAGGAGGTCAAGATGCTATGGAAGTAACCACCACCTCCACCCGCCAGGGTAAATTCGACGCTAGATTCTTCCATTTGGTATTTGAAGAAGAGTTTGGTCGTATCAAGGGACATTTCGGTCCTATTAACAGTTTAGCATTCCACCCTGATGGCAAGAGCTACGCGTCTGGTGGTGAAGACGGTTACGTACGAGTTCAGAGCTTCGATCAGTCTTACTTTGACTATACTTTTGATTACAACAGGGATTGAGTTAATATAAGCAGGAAGGTATTATAATAAAGTTAAAACAATATTGTAAATGTCAATAAAACAATTTGTAATAAATGGTCAAATATTTGTTTTATTTTGAAAATTTTTATCAACCAAATATTAGCTCATCAATGGCTATGCTTTGAGATTGAGACTGGCACATAATCTCCTCTGAGAATGTACAGTGCATAACAGGGAATTCATTGTTTTGAATCAATGGACTCAAATAGAAGCTTGAAACATCGTTAACTACGTAGATATCGATGGAAAACTAATATTACGTATACAGCATAACAATGATGACAAATAGCATGATAAATGAGCAAAATAAAAAAAAAACAGGCCGTTAGCTCGTTTGTTAGTTATGCGTATTACGCCAATAAGGACCTTCGTCGCACGGAGGAGTGAATTTTGATCTGTTGAAGCAAGCAGCCCAGTTTCATGCCTTTTTTTTAAGGGGGGAAAATCATAGCATGACTGCTCCCGCCTGGTTCAGGCGGGAGGGAGTGTCAGACTCTTTTGTACGGCATTTTGTTGTGGGGTCGAGCTGCAGAAATAGAATCAATATTTATTCTGCAAAAGCGGGCTATCCGAGCAATATATAACTCACGCCGTTGCGAATCGTTGAGAGAATTGTTTAAAACGATAAATATTTTAACGGTGCCCTGTCAATATATATATGAAAATATAATGTATGTAAGGAAAAATAGGCAATTGTTTGAAAAAAGAAGCGATAGACATAATTTTAATACTAGAGGCAAAAATAAGTTAGCTATACCGCAATTCAGACTGTCCAAAGTACAGAAATCCTTTATGGGGTTAGGTATTAAATGCTATAATAAAATACCAAATAGCATACTAGATCTCAATGAAAGTAAATTTAAAACATATATTAAGCGCGAATTATGTAATCAAGCTTACTACACACTGACAGATTATCTTGAAGATAAGAATGCTTGGCAGCATGTTGGTTCGGCTCCACTGGACAATACTCAAATGTAGTCAGTAGTTAAATTCCAATAGTAGGTAATATAATACATAATTTAATACTTTAATTCTAATGTAGACAATCTAGTTTCCTTATGGCATCGAGCATTTCTTTCTTTATTGAAACAAAGAGTTTCCTTTTTCTTGTATAGAAGCACTATTTCTATGGATTGTCAGTATGCATATATGTGAGCACCATGTTGGACTTAAGATCTTTATTATTTTTATTTTAGTAAGTTAGTAGTATAATGCGTCAAGCGTGTCTTTGCATTGTTCTTACATATGCGTACCTACAGTATTGAAATATGTATCAGAGACATTGTAGAACATACTTTTTTAAAAGAGTAACGAATGGAGTTTCTTGCTCGTTCTTCTCCATTCGAATCTACGTTTTGGAATGAGCACCTAGCTTCACCTAGCTTCACTGACGGACTGACTGACAGACTATTATTTATTTTGTATTTGTTGACGTTTCAAAAGTACCAAACTATGGTTTAATTGAAATAAATGCTTTGACTTTGAAAAAAAAGACTTTGACTTTGACTTACTGACTAAAAACCACCCCGTTCCTTCTCCTGCACATCGAGTCGGAGCCTCGGTTACCCGTTAGGTTCTCCGCGACAGTTTCATGCCTACGAGTCTCGAGCAGCTTCAATCAACCATTTTGATTGGCCCATTTCAAATTGGATACTTTCCTTAATCAAAAATAAATTATTTCGAATGTTCAAGACAAAATATTCACACTTCTCACACAATCTCATAAAAAATTGAAGTTGCCTGTTCGAAAAAGTATACAAATTGACTAGTCGGGAAGTACCCAATTGATAGCAGCGTGATGTTTTATTGCCTTCCTTGATAAATAGGTAATCCAAGATAAACACATATTTTCAAATCGGACCACTAGTTCCTACAGTTAGCGCGTATTAAAGATCAAACAAACTCTTCAGCTTTTATATAAATAGTAATAATAAGATTTTGCGCTTATAGACGAGTAGTTCAGGGGTCGGAGCTAAAAGAAAAAAAACTTAATATTTTTTTACAATCTATCAATATATTTTCTTTATATAAAAAGGAAATCATACTTCCATACATTTTCACTTGCGGCCCAGGTTCAGGTCTAGAGACCAGCTATACTCAATGTTTCAGTCTCTCTCTAGTCCAGTCAAAATTATCTAGTCGTTTAAAAAAGGCTATTAAAACAAATTCAAGTAATTGTATGCAACAATTTATTATATAAAACATTTCATTACATTTGGGGAATACTTTCACTTATGCTTATAAGATATTTCACAGGAAATAAGGCGTAGTATGTTGTGGCGGCACTTCTCTTTCACTATCAGGAACTGCTTGGAACAGTTTAGGGACTCTGTCGTTTACTGTATTGAACTCTAATATGGAGGCGACGTTGCCGCAGCGGTAACAGTAGTTGGGCGCGGACCACACTGTGACCAGACGTTTATCAAACATGTATTTGAAACCTGGAAGCAATAAAAAGTTTTGTTACATTTTGCATTAGAAGACTTATTTACCAACTACATACTACATTTTCTACTAGGGAAAACCCTTCGGATATAATTAAAGTTTTGAAAAAGACAAAATAATAAAATTTAACACCAACCTTCATTTACTAGCTGATGTGCTCTGCAGATTAAATTCAAATTGTTGTAATTCATAAAAAGCTCTGTGACATAACTTCCAAACAACCATCCTGCACCTCTTGGGCTCACAGACCTGTAAACGAGAACATATTCTTCATAACAAGTTAACAACCATAAAAGCCTGTTATATTATCCTTTAATGACACATATTTCCTTTCCCTACCGCTCGTGTCGTATTTCTACGACAGAGAACAGGCTTAATTTTTTCTTTCTTTTAACGTGATTGCTGCTCCTTATTTGCTGTACATAATTTTTTTTCGATTTGTAGCCGCGCACTGGGCACAGATTTATATTTAAACATAACATCACGTATTTTATCCCTGAAGGAGTAGGCAGAAATGTATATCATGCCACTGTAGAATGTTACACCCACTTTTTATTATTTATGTTATGAGTCCCATGTAATAGAGGGTGACCTATTGCCATATACCGGGCACAATTCCAGACTTCGTACTACTACTGTGATTTTTTTGAAAAACCCAGTAATACTTTGCCCGGCGCAGGAATCGAACCCGAAACCCATTACCCGGCAGTCGCACTTGCGACCACTCCGCCAATGAGGCAGTTATTTATATTTAGGCGCTTAAAAGGATAACAATTATAGTTCTCTGCCCAATCTCAATACGCCTTATTATACATGTCACTGTAACTAAAATGATTTCATACCACATCTTGACATCAGCTGGATCTGACCACAGAAGATCACAGAAAGCTCCTTTGTGTGGTATTTGTTGATTTCTGTCAATACATCTAATTTGATCTAACATGGAAATCTCTGGGGACAGCCCTCCATGCACACACAGAACTGTCTCATCTATTAGCTGTAACAAATTAATTTAAAATGCAATTAAGAAAAGATTCTATGTCATTATTGTTCAATTTAACAGTGTTAAGCGATTTATGCCATTAAGAGGTGCAAAAATACTTACAGCAGCCACTGTTAGCAAATCAAACACTCTACAGCAATCCTTCCATGCATTAGCATTCCCATATTTGTTGAGACACTCATCGTAGAAGCCATACACCTTTGTAATTTGACAAGTCTCATGATTACCCCTAAGTAAGATTATTCTGAAAGAAAACACCTAAGGTGAATAACCAATCTAACATAAACAAAATCTTCAGGGAACAAGTTCCTTGAACTTAGGACTACTTAGAACATAGTAATATTTTTTTAGGTAATCTTTAAAGTACAGAAAAGTCATGGTTGAATATAAAATAAAAAATCATTATTACCTGTCCGGATACCTCGCCTTTAGTGCCATAAGTAGTGTGAGTGTTTCTAAGCTGTAGTAGCCGCGGTCCACATAGTCACCCATAAATATATATTTTGTATTGGGCACTTGGCCCCCTATGTGAAATAATTCCTCGAGGTCATAAAACTGAAACAATAGATTCATACAGTTGTAATTACATCTACCTAAATTAAAACATTTTTGTCATTTTTATAAAATAATTAAAATACTACAGGTCTTATCTGAATTTTTAAGTAATAGTTTTATCACAAAATGTTTTTAAATGTAAAGTTATTAGATGCCTTCTAAGAAATTTGACAAGTGCAATTGGGTAGTAGCATGTAAACAAAGAAATAAAAAGTAGGTAATAAAATTCAGCTATCTAATCAGATTTAAAGTCACTGTAGTGATAGATCATTATAATCTTGTTAGTAAATTTGTGGATATAAAACAAAACTTTTTTCTATTGGTTAGGTCATATACATGATGATCGTAGAAGGAAGGTAATGTAACAGGTTGAGCTAGATGCATCAAGTGTATCGAAATTTGATAAGTTATTTCACTTTACCTGGCCATGTATATCACCGCAGACAGTTACAGGTGTCTGCACCGGTTGTACATTGGGCTCCTCCAACAACAAGTCACAAACAATATTGCAAAGCTCCCGCAAGTCATCTTCAGGTAAATATTTACACCTCTTCGCGATCTCTATCCACTTATCCACGTCACTCATTTTGTGGAATATTACACGAAAAAGGGGTCGTTTATTTTCTTGACTATACACAGCAACGATTTTTGAGATTATATTGTAGGGGTTCGCCCCAAATGTTCAACCACTGTAGTGTAACTATAATCGATTAGTAATAATCAATTTGTTAAATTTATGAAGAAATAGGTGTTGCTACCGGTATTACAATTAATTAATATTCTAGCTATGGTTTATTTCTAGTTAGTTGAACAGATCCAATACAATTTTAATGTAAATAGTAAATAAAATTTGTGTTAAGCCAAATCGATTTAAATAAATGTATAGGATGAATCGGCATGTAGCACAACTCTACAAAATATTATGTCATTCTTCTTACTCACGTCACTTTTAACATTAGCTAAACATTTACGAATTTTGTTAGGGAATATAAACAAGAAATTATCTCTCCTAATTTTATTAAATATAAAAATAATAAAATTGTTCTTAAACAATGT